CATTTTTTAACAATTGTCTTCAAATTTACACCATTTATTTTGTTGGATTCTGGACTACATGAGAGCTATTTGTGTTAGCCATCTCTAATTTTGAAGTGACAGAAAGACTAGAGGAAAGGCATCTAAACACCAACCACCAATTCTTATTAGACCGAATAGTGGGATTTGACCATCACTTTTATAATAGACCTACAGCCCTAAAAGTACAGAAGATGTTTTTTTTTATTTGTGATAACTGGACGTGATCCAAAGAGCCTCAGCTCCACAGTACACTACACTAAGCACCCTCACGTGTGTACTGAAATGTTATAACAGACTTTAATCATAATGTTTTGGAGGTAAAGAACTTATAAACACTGACATATGGATACCAACCACAGGTTGTGCAGCAAAAAGATATCAACCAAAAGAAGATAGAGAATCTTACATTTAACTGGTTTTAGTATTATTAACAAACTATAAAATAACATGATGACAGTAGATAAACCTCCATGGGAAGTACATTTTACGTATTAGACAATGTGGCACTGAAAGAGGTGTTGTCTTGTGTAAATTATTAAAAGTATAAATAGAACATTCAGAACAGCTTGAAAAAACAAATCACAGATTCTGATCATGCTTCTTCTACAACAAAACAATGAATACTTAAGAAATTTCTTGACACACAGACTTACATTTGTTGATCTCAAAAGAGCAAAGTCATCGTCATCATCGTCTTGCGTCATCATCTCTACGTCTTCAATTTGATCGGCTCTAACTTCCGGGTTTTCAGGATTATCCACCCCAAGTTCTTTCACCCTGTTAAAAAGAAACAATGATGGTGTCATGGTTCATAACGTAGAACTAGTTATAACATAGCTCTCTTCCTACAAAACTGAGACACAGTGACAAGAACTGATATTACCTGTCTGCATATCGAAGTGTGTTCAGCGAATGTTCACAGGAACTCAAACCCGGAGAAATCATTGCTATCTGTTTAAAAAGAAATACAACAACATCAATAAAGTTATAGAGAAGTTAAAAGTGTAAGGGTTACAAAGAATTAAACAACATATACAGTTGAAGCTAACCCCACAGTGAATTTTAAGACATAACAAAAACTAACAAAGCTTTTGACAGGCTATGTAACATGGTAAGTCACAACACAACTAGTCCTAATTTTCAGCAACATATTATCCAAACTTCTCTCAATATGTTCAACTGTAACTATGGACACAAGTGACTGAGGTTTACACGAACAGCATCGGGCCAGTTAGGCCACAGTACAAAACAGTTTAATTAAATCAGTGATTTCAATCAATCACAAAATAAGGAACAAAAGTTCAAGCTTTATCATCAGTAGGTAATCCTAAACTGAAAACACAGTGTAAAATATTAGCAACTATTTTATTAGCTTGTGTAACAGAATTTCATGCTTGAAGTACCAAAAGCTCAAATTTGAGTTTTGACTTTGATATCAAACTGAACTAACATACAAAATCTCTTCCAAGATCAGACAGTACAGAAAGTTTGAACTTTGTCTTTATTTTTCAGTTTCACAGAATAAAAATGGCACCATATGCAGGTTATTTACATGTAACACCAAAACTTGTTTCTAGTATTAAATACTTTGCTAAAACTGGTGGGGACTTTGAAATAAATTCTATATCATCAATGATTGATGGATTTATAGATGAAGTTTAAAACAGTATACTGATTCTTAATTATAACTTTTTTACTTACCATACATGTGCGAGAATTCTCCCCAATGAAAGAATCTCTCAAAACCTGGGTTAGCTTACTTGCTCGGAAAGGCAGGTGAGCTCCTTTATGTCCCAAAGCTCTGATACATTCCTAGATCAACAAAGAGGTTTAATCTTTTAACAAGAGAGAGACTCAATGCACCATCAACTTACCAGATTCAATGAACAAATACATATATTAGTCAGTTAGATGCCACAGTTGTTTAAACATAGCTGTTCAAAATATTAATAAAATTATCAGGCCAAAACTCTAAGAAATATTTTAATACATTCATAAAAAGATCATGCCACAAACCTCAGAGATTTCTGTGATCAGTCTCAGTTAAAACTTTGTAGTGCAAACATGTTCCCCCAGCCTATATGTTAAGCCATGCCATGTGATAAACAGTGAATATTATGTTAAATTTTTCTTACATTCACTGGCACAGGCAGAATTTATATCCAGATCTCTTTTTATTAGCTACTTACTGAAACTTTTTAAAGATATTCCAGATTTTTGAAGATAGTGAAGAACATTATAAAGGTTTCCACTAGAACTGGGCAATAAGTGGAATTTGATAATCAATTTATCTTCAAGCTCATTAATCAATTACATTAAACTAACTGAATATTCTCACAAAATGGCAAAAAACTTACATACTAAAAATCAGGTTTTGATACTTATGGTGGGCAGAGTACAGAAAGCCCATTGTTGACACTGATCGATTCAGCTGAACAAACTTGAGTTAATCAAAAATAATAATGAGACATCATGATGGCAATATTTCAATTATTAGAAAGTTGGAATAATAGATAACAGTAATAATTACAAATGCTAGTTGATTATTTTTGTGACATTAACCAGTTTACTTGCAATTTTTATTAATAGATTATTTCATACAAGCTGAGGTACCCATCCTTTGTCCAGGCTATGAACTTAAAAACATGTGGGAGTAGATGCTATGATAAATAACAAAAATCTAAACTTTTACACTATTTATTTATAACATATTATTACAGTATTCGTTATTACCTCACCTGAGGTTTTATATAAGCATTAAGAAATCAACATGTATATACTTAAAACATAATATACACTGTGAAATGGTCAGGGTGACTTTCTATGATGAGGTAGCGGCCAAACTAGTAGCGCTTTCTGTTACTCGCTTTCAAGACCCACCTCTTAATGTCCTTCCACACTGTTTCACATTATTAATTAATTGACGGTCATTGGCCACAGCAGTGTCTTACAGGATGAAGTTTTAAGGTCACCGGTCAAAGTAGGAAGTGGGGTCAAGAAACAGCTCTGCATATTAGTATTATGGTGGCTGATGTAGTAGAAACTTCATCTGAGTTTATTTATTAATGAATGGTGGTGGCCACTGTTTTCATTGCATTTCTCCATATAGAGTGCTACCACACTCTCTGAGATATATAAGACCTTTGTGTGCCCTCCCCCACACTGTGTGTATGTTTTGTTGAAGAAAATTTAATAGTTTTTGGTGTAAATATGTGGTGCCATCTACAAATGTAGTTAACATTAACTTACATGAAAGATAAAATTTATATTTATCGTCCAACTCTAGTTTCCACAGCCATGAGATGGATAGAAATCTTGAAAACAAACATAAGGTTAATGTAAACCAAGCTCTTGAAGTAACATATGTTGTAGTATCTTTATTTTATCTAGTTTTTCTTTAATTAAATGTAAATTCCAGCAGTGGTATTCCATATGAAGTCCATTGTTATTCTTCTAACCTTCCATTTTTATTTTTAAAACTTTTTTATATATATATGGTTTATGTCCCATTCTCTTATCTTTTCTAAACAGAGATCAAATATATTTTTGGCAATTTTTCTTTTCATCATACATTGTTTTGTGCTTAGTCAAAACTATTTACCAAAAATGATGAAGGATTCTGATCTTAAACTAGCATTTCAGTGGATTAACATGTATCTATAATGATAGGTGGATGACTATGTAGGATTCAAATGATCTCAGACATTGGCATGGAAATATGTAATAAAAGACAGAGTACAAAATAGGTTATAATTAGTTTTATCTTAAGTGCTAATATATAGCCTAACCTTTAGTGCTAATAAACTTTTATTAATTTCTGCTCCCTCCATTCTAGTCTGTCTGTTTGCACTCGAGGTGTCTGCTCCACGTTCATTCCCTGCCAAGTCAATTAAAGAAAACTTGCCGTGTAGTCGACCTGTCATCCTATTTGATAACAAAATAAATAATCTTAGCCTTGTTACAAAAATATTAAACACTAATAGGAGTAGAAGTGTCAGGAAAGCACTACTGTCGTGGATAGATCTAACAAAGAATTTAATACCATTCAGAGGTAAGCTTTATAATCTAACATCCATAATTTGGAGTTTCTCTTTGTTAAATTTAATATTATCTGTCTCAAAACAAAATATTAAACTGGTGTCACATTTTTGCTATGCAAACCAGTTCATATAAAAAGACAGTTGTGCAATATTACAGGTGACTGTGCATGCTATACCAAAGGACCAACACCACAGAGAGAACATCAGTTTCTCCTAAAATGATGTTTGGTAGTCTAGCTACTGCAGTTTTCAACATCCCTCCTCTGCAAACCTTTAATTTAAAAATGTTAATGTTTAGGAATGCTGTCTACTCTTCAAACTCTGTAAAGGTATCATCCATTATAGGTACTGCACTTAGCATTGCAGCTCACATATATCTGAATATCTTGGTGAAATAGCTGGGTATGTAATTATTTGAACAGAAAACATTTCACTCTAAAAATTGTAGTTTGAAACTTCATAGTCATATTTAAGTATTAAAATTGACAAAAAGGCATGAGACACGAGGTTTACAAAATACAAATTAATACCAACCTAGCTCAATAAATTGCCATGAATGAGATCAGAGAAAGGAATATAATCATTCCCAAATATAATTTACCTCTTTCTCAGAATAATCTGGAAAACTGCATGTGATCTGGATGAATGCTGATTAGCTGACGTTTGTCCTGATGTTCTGAAATAACATAATACTACTCAGAAAATTTTTTTAAATGTCGAAATCACACACACACACTTGTTCAGGTATCTAGATGTCAAGACTATTAATTTTCTGCACACTTTCAATAAAAACTAAATATTTAGATACTCAGTGAAATTAGGATTAACAAACTCCTAAAGAGCCCAAGAACAAAACATCCAATGCCAGAGACATGTTCTTGGACCTTCAGTGTTACAACACGCAAAGCTAACCTTACCGTACACTGTTACCATGCTGAATCAACCTAAGTACATCCTCTACACACTCTACAAGGTTTTCTTGAAGGCCAACCACTTGAACTTGCTGCTTCCCATCTTCCAGAACCCTTAACTTAGCTTTATTATTCAACAGATCAAAGACCTGAAATACAAAAATAGTCTTTACCACTAACGTACCCAACAGAAAAAAAAATATATCCCTAAAATTATAGATGGGAACCACATGGCTGTATTTAACTTTTACTTTTGTTACTTACAGGGTTGGTCCCTTAAAGCATAAAAGTCAGACAAAAATATATTAAATTGCAATTAATACCACTAATTACTGGAAAGATTCCCTGTGTATTTTACTTAGAAAGTTACTGATTTCACCCAACTTTTTCTTATATATATATATATATATACTGAGTATATAAAAAGCACAAACAATATTACTCAACATGATGCAATATGTGAACCCCACTAATAGTGAACAATATAAAAACAAGTCTATGTATTGTCGGTTCAGAAATGCCCATGTTTAGAGTACTAAATTTCAACACATACATATACACACACACAATTAGTTTACTCCTATTATGTACTTACAAGCTGAGGTACCCGTCTTTTGTCCGAGTTATGAACTTAAAAAAAAACGTGTAGGTGGATACTATGATAAATAACATAAAAATCCTAACTTTCTCTTAATTTATTTATAACATAACATATTACTACAGTATTCATTATTAACCCACCAAAGATTTTTTATAAGCTTTAAAAACTCAATATGTATACAATTAAAACATCGTATACACTGTGTGATGGTCAGGGTGACTTTGAAGGAAGAGATAACAACCAAAGTAATGGCAACATGGGTGCTTTCTATTACCCGCTTTGAACACCCACCTCTTGATGTCTTTACACAGTGTTTCATATTATTAATTAACTGATGGTCATTGATGGCAGAAGTGTCTTACAGGCTAAAGTTGAAAAGTCACAGGTCAAAGTAGGAAGCTGAGTTTGTGTAGTTTTGCAATAGTAGCAGCCAATTTTTAAATTGCATTCCTCCACAGAGAGTGCTAGCTCACTATCTGAGATATATAAGATGTTTGTGTGCCTTCCTCCCAAAATGTGTGTATGTTGTGTTAGAGAAAACTTAATTTTTTTTGGTGCAAGGGCATGGTACAATCTATGAATGTATTTAATGTTAACTTACATCAAAGATAATAAATGCTCAATAATAGCAATAATGGAGGTTATAGGGGGTTGTGAATACCATACTAATATGCCCCTTGTTCCAAACTATCATCCCACAAAATTTGGTTGAGATTGGCCCAGTGACCTAGGAGTAGTTAGATAATGGACAAACAAATAGACACATATTTTTGTGCTTTATATATATATATATATTTTTTTTATACACAATTTTATATATACTGCAGAAAAACTTGCTAAATATTACTTTTCTTTTTAAGACATGATCTTGAAAAATAACATTTAATGTTTATATTTCCATCACATTTCCTAGAACAAGTCACTAGGTGACACTAGCATCCACTGCTGCAATCTCTCTTTCCCTCTAGGTTTTCTTTAAAACATCATCAGCAGTTAAATTTGAAGAGTGAACTAGAGAGAGCTGGTAGGCAATACAGAGATCAAGTGAAATTATTTATGAAATATGATAAGTACATAAGAAACATATGCAAAAGGCAAACAAGGTTGTGGACTTGAAGATCACATTTTAGAGAGTATTATCAGAAAATCTTAAACACTAAAAATAAAACAACTGCAGGAAGACAATGACATTCAAAGTAATTGGAAAACTGTGCTCTACAAATATGCTGGAGGGTATTTACAGGAGAACAGGTGCTAGTAACGTATTAAGAAAAGGAAAGTAATCATTACAAATGAGTCAGAAGAAGAGGCATTAGTAACATCTCAAGGAAAGGAAAGTGATCATTACAAGATGAGTCAGAAGAAAAGGCATGAGAAACTTCTCAAGAAAAATGTGAAGTTACTCATGAGTCAGAATAAGAGGCATTAGTAACATCTCAAGAAAAGGAACGTGATCATTACAAGATGAGTTAGAATAAAAGGTATTAGTAAGGTCTCAAGAAAAGGACAGTGATCATTACAAATGAGTCAGAAGAAGAGGCATTAGTAACATCTCAAGGAAAGGAAAGTGATCATTACAAGATGAGTCAGAAGAAAAGGCATTAGTAACATCTCAAGAAAAGGAACGTGATCATTACAAGATGAGTTAGAATAAAAGGTATTAGTAAGGTCTCAAGAAAAGGACAGTGATCATTACAAATGAGTTAGAAGAAGAAGTATTAGTACAATCTCCAGAAAAGGAGAATGATCATTACAAGATGAGTCAGAAGAAGAGGCATTAGTAACATCTCAAGAAAAGAAGTGATTATTACAAAAAAAAATTAACTTGGATTAATATAAGCCAGAAAACATAATAAACACATACTGAAAATAATAATTTCATAAAGATTTGACAAAAACAAACTTCAAGAGCATACCATTTTTTGCAGGTTAATCAAAATTGTACTTATTAAAAAACAATTTCTGGTAGATACTCTTCCTTTAAGCTACAGGTTTTGTGAAACTTACCTTTCCACTGTATATTTCAAAGAAACTGGATGCTACAATCAAATCTTCACTTCGGTATTTGGCAGAATTCAAAATCTTGAAAACATCGTTTGCTGCAGTAAGTGAAGAAAAAATGTATTGATAACAGCAATATAATGCATAAAATATGATGTTCCTTTAAGATTCTATAAATGGTTGACATTTAATTGACAACACCCTCAAAGTACACTTATAATGTAAATCACCAAAATTATGCAGTTTCTGTGTTTTAATCCAGAGAGATTTATTAGACCTTTGCCAATCAGAATGTTTGATGCAGTCACTGAACTTCCAATAATAGTACCAAAAATGTGCTAATCTTTTGTTTGTTATACTCCAAACATCAATTAATCATAGTGCAAACGAGAGATGTTTGTTTCAGGATTTTGAGCAAAACTATACAAGTGCCATCTATGCATAGCCATCTTTAATTCTGAACTGATAGACTAGACGGAAGGAGATAGACAAGAGTACCCAATTTAAATTTTTGGGCTACACTTATGACCAAATAGCAGTATTTTACTGTCACTCTTATACTGCATCCACGAACCATAGTCTAAGCTAGGGATGGTGAACCATAGGCATGCACGCCTTGCAAAGAAAAATTGTTTGGTATGCCAATTTTTAAAAATAAATGTTTTTTGAAAATTTTCATGTAAAAATATGCAGTGAAGTAAAAAAAAAACATTACATATAAAGTACAAGTTTTTGGCACACTGCAAGTTTTCTGATTTTATTTTCATGCATTTTGGCACTTAGCTCTAAAAAAATTTGCCATCCCTGGTATAAGGCACACGTACCACTAGACCATGTCGACTTATGAGAAACAGAGCATGTAAATGATAAGGAAGTGTTGTTGGGTAATCCATCAGGTTTTACCTGGTCTAACTGTATCAAATCTTGACAAGATAATTTAATAAATGTGTGGATAAATATTTAAATGTTACTCAATAATTTTTATTTTACAATCTTTATTACATTTACCAATACTAAGGCCTGATTATTAATGTGATGTATGAGCTTACTTTATCCAAGATACACATGATATGTGAAAATATGTCAGTTCTTATCTTTATTTATCTGATTAATGATGGCAATACTCAGGGTTAAGAAGGATAAAGCCTGCTATTATGATACTACATCTGTATCTTTTTACATTCTCCCGGCACAAAGTGCTAAATTTGTCCAGTTTCTCCCTCACTGCCCTGGTTTTGTGAATAAGATTGTCTAGTAAAACTGTTTGATTACATTAATAAGCATGCATACACACAAATCATTTCTCTATAATTTACACAGTCACAAAAGCAAATTTAACAACAGAAAGATAGTGCATTTCTCCTTCCAATGTGTAACATTTTAAACACAAAAAGTAATTAAACTATAAAGAGAGCATTATTGTTTATTTGACTAAAGCTGAACAATGAAACATGCTATTAAACACATACTAACCTGCCAGTGCATAGATTCCCTTAGTACAGTCTTGTGATTTACCCTGGAAATCTCCTCCCATAGTCTAGAAAAACAAATTACTAATACATACATATACCATAACTAACCAAACAAACATATTCTTACTAGATTATGTTACTAATAAAACACTTTTATCTTTTAATGACCCAAGTTACAGAACATTCTTTGTAACAAAAAGAATATTTGTTCATAGATAAATATAATCAAACAAAATGTGGCAAACTTTTACACTTTCACACGGTTTCCATATTAACCCTTTTGATATGGGTCACAGGTGAAAGGCCATGTCATCTTGTTTGTTGACTCACATTCAAAAATATTATTGAACTACTA